AGATCGGTTGTCTCAGACGGTGCGTGTCGTTCGTTACATAGTCTGATGTAAATAAAGTTGGGTGTCGCTTAGGTGTTCACCTCTCATTCGAATGTCCTGGGTTCGAATCCGGGTAGCAAGGGGAAAATTTTCTTCTCTAAAATCCTCTCCGTTCACCTCTTTTCCTGCTCTCTAGCAATGTTCTGTCGCCTGCTTTCGTCTCCACTTTCTGCCCCCCCCCCCCCCCCTCTTTGCCCCCTCCTCTGGGCTCCTGATTCTTTCTGAAGCCTTTCTACTGCTACTCCTTAGTTTCTTCTTACTGCTGTCTATCAGCCCCACCCCCCAGGCTCCGGACTCTTTCTCATCTGCAGCGTGTCTACTGCTACTCCTTGGCTTTCTTCTTACTGCTGTCTACTTTCAGCCACAACCCTGATCTTCAGGTAAGAAAGATCTACACCTAGCCTTCTCAGACAAGGGTGAAAAATCTTGGAAAATCGCTAAGAGTAGGCTTCGGCGACCACCGGGGCAAAATTAAAAAGTTCCTACAAACTGAAAATATTTAATCGTGTGTCCCGTGCGCTCTTACAGGGATGCCACTTTTTTTTTAAATAGCTGAAAATCCCTGCGCCACGGTCTCACTAACAATACTAATATGAATATCAATTTGAAACCCAAAGGACGTACATAGAGAGAAATGACAAACAAACATAAGCCAAATATATAGGTGTACACATAGAGAGAAATGACAAACAAACATAAGCCAAATATATAGGTGTACACATAGAGAGAAATGACAAACAAACATAAGCCAAATATATAGGTGTACACATAGAGAGAAATGACAAACAAACATAAGCCAAATATATAGGTGTACACATAGAGAGAAATGACAAACAAACATAAGCCAAATATATAGGTGTACACATAGAGAGAAATGACAAACAAACATAAGCCAAATATATAGGTGTACACATAGAGAGAAATGACAAACAAACATAAGCCAAATATATAGGTGTACACATAGAGAGAAATGACAAACAAACATAAGCCAAATATATAGGTGTACACATAGAGAGAAATGACAAACAAACATAAGCCAAATATATAGGTGTACACATAGAGAGAAATGTCTTCGTTTTTCCGTTATTTCAACATTTGGCGCAAGTAGTGTGTGTGTGTGTGGGGGGGGTTAAATGTTGTATGTTTTTACAAACTAGTTGGCAGCTATGCGAGGGGTAACGCAATAGACAACTGATCCAGGGCTACCACGAGTTGAGGGTCTTTAATTCATAGAGCATTATAAATTATCATCAGTGCACATTGCTTGTTTGACACATTTGAGGACTGCCAGGTTTTCTTTCATGGAGGGGCAAAAGCTACCATTTTGGTACAATTAGATCAAATCCTCAAAATTCAAAGACTTTTTCTAGGTCATGAATCAATCACATTTGATGAAAATGGCTAATTAATCACAAACAAGACTCCTAAGTATTGCAGAGTTGGATCTTTTGTTTGCATGTTGAACGCCACAGGCCAAATTTGATGAAGCAAGGCAGAGGCCAATTTGATATACAGTGGAACGCGGATTTAACAAGGTCGCCGGGTGTAATGTTAGTCTACACACACGACAGTAAAACTAGAGACGAACACACACGACAGCAAGCATTCTAAATGTATTGAGACCGGGTGTAGTGTCTGACTTTTTATAGATCCCCGAAGTGAGTAACATTAACCAAGAGCCCATGGCATACAGGGCGCTTACGTCCCGTGAGTAAAAAAGAGTAAGGTACAATACGGTGACTACCGTGACACCGGGCCTGACCTAAAATCTCGTTGAATCTGAGTGTTCGTTACAGCAAACACGAGGTTCTGTGTAGATAATTACAGGCACTGAGCAAGTAATGTATAAAGAGAAGTCACAAGTAGTGCCTGAAATGCCTGCATATTATGAGCTGTGTAAAAAAAAAAAAAGACCGATTCGTTCAAATGCACTCCTGTGTCATCTCGATTGTTTGCCAACAAAAAGTTGTGTTGCATAACGGCAACTTTTGATTCCGTAGACCATCGCACAATTCATTACGAAGATCTACGTCAAGACTAGCTTATCATTGTAATACAATGTAATGATCAGTTGCCGAGGGGATAAAAGACTGACGCGTTTGTATAGATCTGCAAAGTTCAACGCCCGGACCGCTACCCCCCCCCCCCCTCCCCGACGCACACACACAGTCACACGTGTGCCGCCCATCCGACCCCGACACACGCCAGAGTAGACTTGTGCACGAGCCAGCAACACATGTGTTCGTATGAAAAAAAGCCGCTGACTGGTCGCATGCAACCAACTAAGTGAATTTAATGGTTCACGATGCAGTTGCAATGGAGGGTTTCCGGGAATAGATAAAGTTGGTTCTGGGAGAAAAATGAGCGAAGCCACATCTGCGGGGGCTGTTCACCATGGAAGCGACCTCGTTGAATCCGAGCTCGCTGATTTAAGTGCTCGTTGAATCCGGGTTATTTTTATTGATTTTAAAGAGAAAAAAAACGGGGATCCGAATCTATCTCATCTCTTTGAATCCGAGTTCCACTGTATAGTATGCATTACATCAATAATTAGTCCACCCTCAACAAATGTATCAAATGAGCAATGTGCATAGGCTAGTAGACTAAACAAGAAAGTCACTAGTCTCTCCCAGTCAGTCAGTTACTGCAGACTTCAAGATTTGTACTGCAAATTTTTCAGGTCGATCCACTGCTCTTTACTTTGAAACAACTTTACAAGCAGAGATTGGAAGAGTGACACTAAACTAAAGAATCTTAGTTAAGTTTCAGTAAGAATTTTACAACACTTGCAACACAAATGAGTCATATAAGTGCTAAGGGGGGCTCTCGTGGCCTAGAGGTTAAGGTGTTGGCCTCTCATTCAAAAGGTCCCGGGTTCGAATCCGGGTAGCGACCGAAAAAGTTGTTCTCTAAAATTTGTCTCCTTTCACCTCCTTTCCTGCTCTCTGGCAATGTTCTGTTGTCTGCTTTCGTTTCCACTTTCTGCCCCCACCCCCTCACCTCCTTTGCCCCCTCCTCTGGGCTCCTGACTCTTTCTGCAGCCTTTCTACTGCTACTCCTTGGCTCCTCCTAACTGCTGTCTTTCTGCCACACCCCTGATCTTCTGGTAGGAAAGATCTACACCTAGCCTTCTCGGACAAGGGCGAAAAAATCTCGGAGGGCCTGTGTGCAAGTTGTGCATGTTAAAGATCCCTTGGTGGTCTAAAATCGATAAGAGTAGGCTTCGGCCGCCACCCAGGCAAAATTCAAAATTTCCTACCAACTGAAAATATTAAGTGTGTCCCGCGCGCTCATATGACCTTATGCAGTTGCGAGCGCCGTATAAACACTCACCAAAAACAAAAATAAGTGCTAAAGATTAGTGGTGTTACTAGAGAGCACCATACAAAGAAAAGGAAGACAGACACACACAACGACAACAAGATTAATAGAAATGAAGGAGCAAACTACACCACAGCACCAACCAACCATACTCAGGGAAGCCACTCAACTTTTTTGAAAATAGCTGAAAATCCACACGCCACGGTCTCGCTAACATATGAATATCGATTTGAAACCCAAAGGGTGTACATAGAGAGAAATGACAAACAAACATAAGCAATGGGTGTACATAGAGAGAAATAACAAACAAAAACAATGGGTGTACATAGAAAAAAATTACATTTTTTTTTCCAACTATAAATTCTCATCTCAGACTCCATCTCAATATAACGGAAGAGCGGATCAGGATCAAAATACCGGAAAAGTGGCATCCCTGCACACAGCCGAATCTGTGTTAGATGGAATCGCAGGGGAGCCAGAAAAAAATTCCGTCTCAGGGGAACTTAGGGGGAGATGGGGGTTGGGGGAGGTCAAAGGCCCAGCCGGTGGGATCAAGGATCGCTTGTCCAATTGGCAAACAGCGGTAAAAACTTCACACCTCTCAATTGCTATCCTGTCTGATAATGACCTGCGTCAGTCTTACTTATCCAATTACCACCAGTGCTTGCCTTTCATAGGACCACCGTTTGACCTATTAAAAACGTATTGTTTGAACATCTCCTTTGATTACACCCTCCAATGCCACCCCTCACTGCCACCATATAACAAAGATTCGAGGAACTCTCTTCTCGGCTGGCCGTACAATCAGGGCGACAGGCATTGGTCAATCAAATTTCACACCTCTGGCTTCTGGCTACCCAGGAAAGTTTCCGTAGTGGCTCGCTACTCAAGCGCTCTCACGAGAAGTCATGAGATTTCACACCCACACTACACTGACCATCTGCATCGCTCAGGGCTCACATGATGGGGAAACATCTATTCCCAAATTTCACCCCTACTCCTCTTCCTCGCCCGGCGGCATAGCCATAGCGTTAAGTTTAGAGCCGGCGGAACCAAATTTGCGAGTTTTGTTTCAAATCAAGGTTGAGCGGGCAAAGCATTTTTCGTCTTAAACCTCGGAAGGGAGCGGATTTTTCTTTCCGTTTCCGCTTTGGACAGGTTTCCGTTTTTATACAGGTAATTAAAGAGGAATTCTGTTAAGGCAGGTTCGACTGTACTTCACTTTTCTGATCCAGTGGCCATTTGAGTTTTAGCCCTTTGGCCTGGACCCACCAACCATCAACCCGAAGATCCTAACCAACATCTCTTCATCAAGGTATAAAGACAAGCCCACTAACATCATCATCATCTTTCTCACCCAGCATCTGGATATAGGCCACAAACACTTTCCATCTTTCTCTATCCTGGGCTAGCCTTTTAAAGTTATGCCATGTCTTCTCATTTCTCTGTACATCAATTTCTATGATTCTTCTCCAGGTCCCACGCGTTCTTTCCCACTGACTAACATACATATATGTATGAACAAAAAAATGAAGACACAACCACAGCACAAGAACAAGATAGTCCACCAAAGCAAAACAGCACACAAAAACATCATAAGCAACAAAAAAAAAAATAATTAAAAAAACCAAGGCAGAAAATTGTGTCTCCACCTTTTATTGAAAGATGACAATGACTCATACTTAAGTTAACAAATGATGAATAAAATGACTAAGCATCTACACTGGGCTTGATTTATTTCTGAAAAAAAAAAATTATCAAGGGAGTCCAATCAGAACTTGCCTCAATTTCACTGGACGCTGGACTTGATGAAGATAAAAAAGCTAGCCTTTCGACCCCTTTCCCCCCAAAATAACCATTGCTGTTTAATTTCAGAGAGGCGGAGAAGACAAGCCAGTGGTACAAACTTTTACGATGAAATATTCACATCAATGAAAAAAAATGAACATACCATGATGCAGGAGCATGAAAAAAATGAATCGATGTCAACTCAGCACTGACAGCAATGATTTAAAAATGTAAAAAGGATGCATTGCGAAACATTCATACCGGGAACAAAATTTACATGTTATTTTGGATGTACCAGCGATGAGTTCTCGAAAGGGGGGAAAAAAGGCATAGATTTACGTAATGGACTCCCCCCCATCCCCCTTCAGAAATAATGTTTTACCGTCCATGCTGAGTTGATGTACATTCACCAGACACAAACAATCATTTTTTTTAAAAACAAAGATCATACATGTTTTTTCCTCTTTTGACTCCACTGTACAACATTCAGAACACCAGGGTCCTCACTCAAGTGAGAATAAATCGCGTATCAGTCTAGAGACCAAATGATTAATTTGTTTAATAATTTGCTGGTCACCCGTCTCTGGAATCCAACAATCCAATCCCTTCCCCGCCCTTAGCACAGTAGGGACAAACAGCCACCAGTCTGTTGTTGAAACACATCGATGGAGTCACCATCCTCCATCTCAAGCTGAAACACACAAAAATGAAAGAAAAAAAAAACATCATTCATTCATGCAGTTAGCCACATAATATAATAAATAAAACAGAATGCGAGTGATGCTACGAAAGGTTGACTACACCATGACCATTGATGGACAAATGAAAGTTAGCACAGCTAATTATACTAGTATTTTAGTATTACATAGGCGTAACTCCAGATTTATTGGCTGCTTATCTGTTGCTTTGGTTTCAAGGGCTATGATGAACATACTTTCATCTTTTCAATGTCCAATAAATTCATTTCAACACAGAAGCAGACCTGCCAACTTTTCAATGAGAAAAATTGGAGGGAAAATTATCACTTTTTAAAAACTGAAATTGGAGGGAAAACGTGAGCACAGATCATGTGTTGCAAGCCAAACGTCCCCATGCTTTAACTTCCAAGATTGATATTGTTCACCAGCAAAATAATCTAAAATCAGGGTTGGTGATTTTTTAAATAAAAATTTTAAAAATCTATTTCTTAAATTTAAATCGGATTTGCTTGATTTTTTTAAAAATGTTGACACAGTTTGGGATTTTTGGTGGCTAAAAGTAAGGTCTTTTAGTGCAAAATGCATTGTCTTTATTTTAACTAATGATTAATTTAAGCAACTGCAATTTTAGAAAGCCTTAATCTGCTAGATCTATATCAGTGAATTATGGCTACAGACAAAAAAATGAAGAAAATGTCAGTCTAAAAGGAAGGGGGGGAATTATGCATGCATAGATAAACTTGCATTTTTATTACAGTGTGTGTGTGTGCGCGCGCTTGTGTTTGTCTAAAAAGAAAAAGATAATGCTAATTTCAATTACGAAAAAAGAGTAAATTGAATAGATCTACAGTATTATTTTACTACTTACAGTGACAGGGGGGAAAGCAGACTTTAAAGCATGATTATTTTAGTCTACTAAACCTTATATCATCTGTTTTATAAAACCAAGGAAAGGAATTCTGAATATTTAAAGATGTAAAAACAGAATATTTTTTTAAAAAGTGATTTAAATCACAGAGTTTTATTTTTAAAATCAAGTTCATTTAAATTTTTAAAAATCAACTGATTTAAGTCGACTTGATTTAAATCAACCCAACCCTGGTTTTCAATTATGAAAAAAAAAGTAAACAGAACTGTATTATTTTACAGTGACAGGGGGGAAAGCCGACTTTTAAGTATGATTATATTAGTCTACTAAACCTTATATTGTTTAATAAAACCAAAGAAAGGAATTCTCAATGTTTACATATATGTAAAAACTGAATACATTTTTTTGAAAAGTGATTGAAATCACAGATTTTTATTTTTAAAATCAAGTTGATTAAAATGAAAAAAATCAACTGATTGAAATCAACCCAGCTGTTTTCAATTATGGAAAAAAAGTAATTTGAATCTGTATTATTTTACAGTGAAAGGGGGGAAAGCCGACTTTTAAGCATGAATATATTAGTCTACTAAACCTTATATCTGTTTTATGAAACCAAGGAAAGGAATTCTGAATGTTGAAATGTGTAAAAACTGAATTTTAACAAATATTTTTAAAAAGTGATTTAAAACACCGATTTTTATTTAAAAAATCAAGTTGATTAAAATTTTTTAAATCAACTTGATTTAAACCAACCCAACCCTGTCTAAAATCAAAAAGAAGAAAGAAGCAGACTAGAAAAAGCCGCTACTGTTGTCCAAGTAGTGCAAGAACCAGGAAACACACTTTCCCTGTTTTTATTAGTTCACAGAAGATTTCATAAATTTAGGAAAAAAATAATTGTCTTTGTGTCTCGATAAGGAAACAGGGAGAAATGCAGTCTTAATTCACTAACGTTGGCAGGTCTGCAGAAGGGCTTTCCAGTTTCCACTAAGGGACCGTTCACAAATGATGTCAGCTAAAATTTGGCCAAAAATGACCCCCTCCCCCCTTGTCATCTTTCCCAGCTTTCCCAACCACCCCCTCCCCCACCCTCAAGTCAACTTCAACCAAAATGTACATGTACATTTAGATAGAACCTATACAGGATGCATTTTATATTTACACTTTTGATCTTTATTAAAAAAATTTTCATTAAAACGAAGAAATACTTAAACTGTCAAAATATTTATTAACAACTTTAACCAATTAAAATAATTAAAACAAATAGATTGGATATCACAGCTTGGAAAACAAAGCAAAATGATATGAGTATTATCTCAGCTTGTGGAAAAAAAAATAATCAAATAATATTTGTGAGGCGTGCTGACAAATATCAAAATGAGTTACTTCTCAGGTTCAAGCCTTAAATACATTACACCACACTTATAGGTGAAGTTTTTACGATTCATATCACAAGCATCATGGTTGATGTCAACCAACCCCCCCCCCCGAGCTAACATCATCTGTGAACGGCCCCCAAGGTAAAAAGAAAGGAGTGCAACGGGGTATCTTCACCTATACTTCTACAAACACTCAGAACAGTTAATCCAGACATTATGCCATCAGTAAGGCATAATCAAAAGCCTTTAAAAATTTAGAAAATTTACCCGAAAAAGAGACACCATGGACAATGAGAAAGGAAATTTTATAATGCAGGGATGCCCACCCTAACAGCATGTTTTAGTCATCAACAAATGAAAAAATAGTATAAATCTGTCAATGGGTCATTCCCCATGTCAAAGACAAAGGTTGAAGGTTCAAGGATGAATGTAATGTTAACAATAATAAAAAGAGGTCTGAGCTTCTGATGTCTAAATGTGTGTGTGTTTGTGTGAGCGGGGGGTTGGTTGTTGGCTTGAAGAAACTAGACACTACGACACACAATGATCTACTTTTTAATTCCCTCACAAACCTTGGCCCCACCAACAAAACACATTAAAGTGTTAAAAAATTTTTTAACATCTTGTTAAACTAAATATTGTCTTACTCTTGGCTTTGGATCAAGGACTAATGTTTTTCTAAGGGCAAAGTGGCACTCAACAACCACAAGGACTCTGTGCACAAAGGGTGGGGGCTTTCAATTATGAATGTGTCAAGCAGATTTGGAAACTCAATCAAACACCCCCTATGAGAGGCATCCTTGTGAAATTAGGCACTCCTCGAAATAATGAAATCGAAGATATCTGCATTTTCCCCATCAGTCTGACTATTTTTTTTAAATTTTTGTCTTATGGCTCAACAACTTTTTAGCCCATATAAAAAGACATTTCCATGTGAATTTATTTGAAAAATGATTAAAGGCACAAAATATGTAATTATTCAGTTTTCAAGGGCTCTCACGCTAGTGAGGTTATCAAACTTTGATGGCCATTTATGCGCTAATTTTACCAATGAAACCGGGTGTTTTTCTACCAAAAGCAAGAGAAAAGAACAAGCATTAAGGTGATACCATTAACCCTAACTCTGGCAAGTGGTTTCAACAGGAATGACAGGGCTAATCAGCCAAAACGTGCACATGCTTTACAAATCAAATTTATGGACTTGTATCAAATAAAAACCCTACAAAAGTATATATTTTCTGAAAGATAATTGAATGAACTTTTATATTTTGCCTTTGAACATATGATTTGATTTAATTTACAAGGGGTTATGTAAATTTGAAATCAAAGATGGCTGACATAAAAAATTTACATGCTCATTAGCGTATTCACCAATCTAATGTATTTCATGTTATAAAAAATGTGAGATAGCAGAAATATGATGGGTTTTTCAATTACCTTTCAGAAAATGTATAGTTTTATAGGTTTGAAAAGAACAGGTAATGAGTTATGACTGTTTCAATTTGTCATGTGGTCTGTTTCGAGCACAGCTGATACTCGCTACTTTCATACCATACTCAACATAAAAACACTTTAAGTACAGCCATATATGGTTTTCAGCAATCTGCTGGTAGTCTGTAATATATTAGTATAGCAAAAGGAACCTACGGTTACCCCATAGCTCTCCTTTTTCTGCCCCTATTAGACTCCCAAAGGTAGTAGAATCTAGTGTTCCATTTGAAAGAGAAGTTGGGGCAGGATAAGAACTGGTATCCCCATAGTCAGATCTAATCCCAATTCTTGACTGAACACTAATAAATCCACCACTAACAGTGTCTGAATTGCTTTCCCTAGTCAATTCCCTTTCAAATGTATCAAAAAAAGATCGATTTTTGGCCATTTTAGACCCACATGAGTAGCACAAGTGATAGATCTACACTAGCATTAGTGGCTCGTGTCCTGATCAACAAGCTTTCAAAACATCCCTCTGTTTTGACAGCAAAATACTCTCATCCTAAGCCAGAATGGTAGAAATATTCTGATTGGTTGAAGGTTAGCCTTTTAGCCAATCAGAAATCCCTTTAGGAAGCCTCAAATATTTAGTTGGAAGGCAGAAACAGCAGTTTACTATATGGTCCAATGAGATCGGCCCTGCCAGTTTCATGGCAGGAAATGGCCCTTGCCAGAGTTAGGGCTATCTTCACATGCCCAAAAAATTGACGAACGCCGGATTCCACCATGTCATGACATATATTCATGCTAGACGTATTGTTTCAGTTTTTGCAAGAGTTTCACGGCACTTACAACACAATCAAGTCAAATAAGAGTGAAAGATTAGATTAGAGGTGTTACAAGAGTACAACAGGACATAAAAAGGAGAAGAGATGAGAGCCATAAAAGTTTGATAGAAAAGAAGAATTATACCCCACCACAGCACCCGCCAACAAAAGATTATGATTTCAAGGCTAAATACCTAAACTACAGTACTCTAGTCAGACATCTGTAACAACAACCTCAAGATGTACTACTTCCTAAGCCACACTAGTAGAAAAGCGTACCATTGCTGGGGTGTCTTCATCATTGATTGGATTTCCATCAAACCTGAACCGCACAACTCCTGTTTGGATTCCCTGAAAAAGAAGAATCACATGCCTTACAAACTGTGGCTTAAAACATATATCAAGGAACATCAAGAAATTCTTTGTGGATTCTTTTCTTCAGACAGTCAAAACTCAATTACCAATGGTAGCGACTGAGTGCTCAATGCTGATCTCAATCTTTAAGGAGGATACAAAACTTACCCATGGCTACTACTATAATGAAACTAACCCTTTGAGCACAGACCTCCTGGTGCTACCATGCCCCTCTGACTGATCTCCTGAGCAATAAATTCATGATCCCTCATGGTAGCCCTTGTAATTCAGAAAGATCTTCAAAATAATCAGTAACGTCCTGTGTAGTAAACACAGTTTCCCATGCCCATTATGCTCTAAGCAGGGGATAGGGTTTTGCTCACCGCTGTACCGGTGGCTAGGCATACAAGTTTTATGTGCCACCGATGTATCGGCAGCGAGGGTTCAAAGGGTTAATGAAGATGGCAGAATTTAATTAAGTCTCAGGTGCTTATGAACTAGGCTAAAATGTAGAACCTTTAGACACAACCAACCACTGCCTCAACAGGGGCCAATTGGCCAGGATCATATAGAGGACTTACACAACATATGTAGATGTAAATTGGGTGACAATACAAGACCATGGCACATCTATCCAAGGCCCAAGGCCAAAGATATTTCTATACCACTCTACTAGAGAAAACTTTTCCCCCCAAACCCCTTCTTCATTTAGTCATTAATAATTCAGAGGACCTACATTTTAATGCAGGATGTTTCTAAATTAGCACATAGTACAAGAAACTCTAAAGCAAATGATGAGGACTGAATCCCACGGTAATCATACAATCGACTCCACTTGTGTTGAACTCGCTCGAGGTGTTCTTCGGTTAAGTTGATCTTTTTCTAAGGCTTACCTCTTCTTCTTTACAGTTCCCAATCGTTAATAATTTGAATGAGGAGATCTATTCCCCACCCCCCCTGACGATATCAACTTATCCGCAGTCAAAAGTGCAAGCTCAACAGTTTTCTCCTTTCATGATTTTACATACAAAACACACACCACAATAAAATGAAATACAGCAGTCTCTGCTTAAGAAAACTGGTCATAATGAAGAGACAAAACAGATTCTTTTACGGGTTTCAAGGAGCACAACTCAGGTCTAATCCATTTAAATGATGTCCCACTGTAATACGGACGCCCAAGGTTTGTTGTGTGCACGCGCGGGTCCGAGTGTTGCAAGTTGTTTTCAGTCCTGGTGCAGAATGAGAGATTTCAGAATGAATTTTATACAACGCGACATTGTGTTATTAGTTGTTATAATTATTTGATCTATTGAAACTAAAAAACAGCACCAGCCTCAACGCTGTATATGTGAAGAAGAAAAAATGAATGTGAATTTACTAGCTTCTGTAAGACAATTGGGCCATTTGACCACATGAGAGGAGAGAATGGTCGTACCAATCAAAAACCACTTTGCAATTTACCTGTTCACCATAGCACAGGTGCATGCCTACAACTTTAAAAATTAACAATCTGTGTGTAAAGTGTTCAAAGTAAAGCTTACTGTTGGCTTGTTTGTTTTCATCATCTGCTGGCCCACTCCAACCAATCTCCCTTCAACCCAACATACATGCCCCCAGCTCAAAATGAGTTCTTAAATGTTCAGTTTTTAGATGTGTTCTTAAGGCATGCAAATTATACTGAACAAAAATCTGTTGCGCTGCAAAAGTAGATTTTTAGGCAAAGACCCCTGTCTGTATTTACTTTAAGTCATTTAACCAAACCACCATTAACTCTTGTCCTGCGTCTGTACTGAGATGCGAACCATATCAGCAACCTATTACGTTGGACATTCCGGGCAGGCCGCCGGGTCACTCAGCGTGTATTGTTGGTGTGCAGCGAGCGCGCCTGGAAACGTGTGTTTTCGCCATGAATACTGTGGGAGTTTGCTAATCGATGAAGAAAATAACATTAAGTGTTACGAACACATGAATAACGCCCTTTCATAAGCTGATAAGACATTACGAGTAGTTGCGCCCATTCGAATAACCTTTTTAGACGCTCTTGTTGTTATGAATGATCTGGGGTTCGAAATGCACACAAACCCAAGCAGACTGACGCACACATACTTGAGCTTGAACGGAACGGGGATGATGCTCTGTGCCCGTGCGCTGAGCCAAGGGCTGGACTGACACGCGACCAGAAAAAAGGTGAAGTACCGAAATAGGCTTAGCGGGCGACATAAACCCGGCCCCCGCAGGATCAGGGTTAAAAAAGAAAACAGACCCAAGGAGATAAAGTAAGAAGTCACAGGACATGAGTAACAAACCCCCCCCCCCCCCTCCCCCCCCAAAACTAAATGAACTTTAGCCCACAGTTGTGAAAAGCAGAAAGATTGAAAGAAACTTAAGGTTGACGAAATGAGAACAGACGATAAAAAAAAAGTTATAATGGTTAGCACATTATAAGGCCAGGCAGATGAGATGAGGCAAGCTCTATAGGTCAGAAATTACATAACAAATTAATAGCTCAAACAACTTTTAACTTTAACCTGTAAATTTTTACTTTCACTTCCACACACAAAAGCACTCGTTTGGGCTCAAACTGCAGTATGTCTTGTAGCAGATCACACGACACACGTAGCCACAAAAATGTCACAAACCAGTTATTTTCAAGAAAATTTCAAACCTGACTGCAAAACATCAAATTATGGGATAAAATGGGGAGTAGGGATTGATCCCCCCAAATCAGTCCAAATTGCGGAATTACTACCCAATTAGCTTAGAGTGGTATAGTTTGAATAAAAACAAAATTTCAAAAGCTATTAATTTGCCCGGAACAAGTCGATATTCTTGTTAAACGGATTAAAATGAACAAGAAAAGGGCTATACAATACCTTAGCATGAGACAGAAAAGAAAGTAAAATAACACCCTTCAAAGATGAAAGACTTACCGCTCTGTTGCAATATGCTCCCATCAGCTTCCTCAAAGGTGTATTCTTTTTAATCTTGAAATGAACGACACTCCCATCCTGCCCTGTGACTTTCAAATTGATGTGCTCACTTTCCTTATGGTCCTCCTCCACAAGAGAAAAAATAAAACAAAGATAAAGTCATGCCTATCCACTCGGTCAATCAACTTTAACTATTCCCATCAAACTCCTGGATAGTATCCCAGTAATAAAAACAGAAGCAAAGGCAGGAACTAGGCCTACCAGTATCAATTCAAATTTACATAATAATGGAGCAAATTAAACTGACATGAACATCAACTTAAAGGGCTCCATATATAAACATTGGTAAAGAATTACTGTTGTAATTTAAGGGGAGAGGTACACTCCCGGAAAATTTTTCTAAACGAAAGACTTTTATTCAATTTCAAGTAATTGTGCAAGAAGTTATAGGTAAATAGGAAGTACTAGGGGTGAATTTGTTGAATTTTTCTTTAAAATTGGTCTCTGGTGGCCATCTTGGATTTTCAAACCAGTTTCTTAGTGCAGAAGAATTTCATAGTAAATATTGAATTATCAGCCTGAAATTTGGCACACAAGTACAAACCTATATGAACTGGGGATCTATGAAAGAATTTTGACCTATCTTTAAAACTAAAAAAGTGAGCCCAAAGTCAGTGGACCCCCCTAGAGTCAGTTGACGAAATTTTGGGGTACATATTACAAAAAAATTGAATATTTCCTTAAGTTACCAATATTTCCCAATTCCCTTTCATAGATCCCCAGAATTGATCTTAAAGCACCTGTACACCAAATTTGAAGCTTCTAGCTTTTGTAGTTTTTGAAAACTTGCACCCAGGAGGTCACATATGTCAATGAGTAGATTTTGAGAAAAACAGAAAAAACGGATTTTTTAAAGGATTTTAAAAGCAATTTGCACTTTTCAAACGCCCTTTTAGGTCATTTAGGGTGTTTTTTCAACAGTTTCTTCATTTTGACTCGAAAGAACAGATGTCAAAGGATGTTTTTCAGCAAAAAACAAAAGTTGGATAGTTTGAAAAATTGTATCAATATTGCCTTGGATCGCCGACCCGGGTCTTCCCTTAATACGAAGTGACTATTCTGACTCGAGTCCAAATAGACAAAAATTATATTCAGACTCTGAATTGAGCCCAGCATGATGTCCGTTCCCGGAGTTCCGACTCTTGTTCCAAACTATTTCCAGCATTTATTTATGAAATTTTTATTGGATTATAATGATGATAATCTAGATGTTAGCTTTAATATACAGTTACTAGATCTATCTAAACTGGCCCTCCCTGCATCAGTATGAACAGAACAACCAAGCTTAGTTGGCCTCGGCGGGGGCAAATTTAATCATGTAGACTTCGCATAGCGATCACGCACTCTCAGCTTGGGGGAAGAGGTGTTGGGAAAAGGCCAGGCAGTCCATTTTGTAAGAAATGATTTTAAAAAATAATTAAAGAAAAACTGTAACACATAACAAAATGAAATTAAACATGTGGAAAGACAAATGGTGGTGGACGTAATGATGCTGTAGTGGTGGTGGAAAGACCGAGTAGTGGGTTACCGTGTACTTAGACACTACCATTGGGCAATGAGGGTGAAGTATGCAGTCTTTTGACTTTTGACACAATTACAGTCATAGTAGGTAATTCTAGTTCCAATTCTGGTTTTACATAAAATCCCACGACAACATTTATGTAACCCCCTTACAGTCACATAACTCACTTAGAAGCCGAGTCCGAAAAAATAAAACTTTTTTTCTGACCAGAGTCCGAATAGATGAAACCCATATTCCGGAGTCCAAATATAATGTTTAAATAAAAAATCGAATTGGACTGGAGTCCGAATAGAGCCGGCCAATTGAACCCTAATAGGCGTGAGCATCTCGTGATGACTCATACTTCCCTTCCATGCGCATTGCGACCACCGGTCGTGACCCGACAGAGTAGAAAATATACCGCTGACATGAGAATAGCCATTTTTTTAACTGCTGGTGACTGCAGTCCACCAGTGCAACGTTTATTAGTGCCGTTGGCCACGCATTTGACAGTCGGCAATCAGTTTGAAGTTTATTTGCAATTTTCTGGGATATTGTTAACAGTTTTCAATGTCGGACTCGTCAGCTGAACTAGACACAGATTTGCCCAACATTTTTCTGGAATTAGACGACACTGATGAAGAGTTTGAAGGATTAGGTCCTCAAATAAAAGATTTACATGTGAATGATGAGGATATATCGTAGATCTAGCGAGGTACAGCCCAGAAAGGGACGTCGATATTCTTGCTGATCTCCAAGCAGGCTGGACTAAAAATTATGAGGATTTTGATACCAACAACATAAAAAACAACATCTGACCTGATATAAGGGTAGTTTATTATTTAAGACATTTTCCCTTCTAACTGTATAGAAATTATGATAAATAATGATAAATGATATGGCTATCCTCACCTGGGGTGAGAATAAAAATACGATTGACCTCTCACCCCCGGGTGAGACTTTCCAGCATTGGCTATTCTCACCCGGTGTGAAACAAGACCAGTTTTTCCTAATTTTGGAAGGTAGTGTCAATTGCCACAGAGTAAATTGGAACTCTTTTGTGTTTTTGAGTAGATCTAGCCTGTATGTGCTCGGTGTTCTGCATTAGTGAACTACCGACGCACGCCTCCCTCTTTGCCCCTGTGTGTGGGAGCGGGGGTATCTCTCTCTCTCTCCCTAACCCCCGTCCCCAGGATTTATGTTCCCCGATATAGAGATATAATATATATAAATAAGAAGCGTATTTCTGTTTGAGTTTGTGGCCTACTTCTAGAATCACTTATTTCGGTTCTACACCGAAGCGTAGTCTAGCCTACGTCTCATTCAAAACACGCCAAGTGGAAGTCGGTAGCTCAAGATGTTCGGCCAATGAAATTAGAAAACAAATTGACCCACATAGGCGTGAGGAGCTCAAAAGGATAGCCAGGAAACAAGATTTTCATTTTACTGTAAACAAAATCTTTCAAATGAGCTTGAATTTATGCAAAATGATATTTCCTGATAAAAATAAGTTTATAGATAGTTTTGAAAACCATTGTGCATGTAAAAAGAAGAATTTGAGTGCTAAAAATTCGGAAATTGACCTATACTATAGGCCCATTCCATGAGCGGTCCACCAAAATGCAAAAAGATAAAATTGATTAAATCAACTCACCACCAGGTGAAATATTCAGCAGAAAGGTTTATTGGTGCAGTTCTGAACTCAAAAATGGTAGAAACTACCCCTTTCTTACAAAAAACGCATGGCGAAAAATGAGAAAGAAAAATGTCATGACAAAGAAAAAAATACCGTTTAGATTTAGTAAAGAATTTTTTATTTCAATGACAGAATAAGTCATCTTTATGTTTGTATACTCTCCTAGCATGTACTTTACTGGAATACAAAAACAATTTCTGGGTAAAAGCATATGTTATGACCACATTTGACAGAACGAAGTGTATACAGACCCGGTAACCGGGAACAAAGTCACGAAGTATACAGACCCGGTATGGGGGCTCTCGTGGCCTAGAGGTTAAGGTGTTGACCTCTCATTCAAAGGTCCCGGGTTCGAATCCGGGTAGCGACCGAAAAATTTTCTTCTCTAAAATTGTCTCCTTTCACCTCCTTTCCTGCTCTCTAGCAATGTTCTGTCGTCTCCTCTTTCTGCCCCCACCCTCTCACCTCCTTTGCCCCCTCCTCTGGGCTCCTGACTCTTTCCGCAGCCTTTCTACTGCTACTCCTTGGCTCCTCCTTACTGCTGTCTTTCTGCCACACCCCTGATCTTCTGGTAGGAAAGATCTACACCTAGCCTTCTCGGACAAGGGCGAAAAATCTCGGAGGGCCCGTGTGCAAGTTGCGCACGTTAAAGATCCCTTGGTGGTCTAAAAATCGGTATTTTTTTACTCCCCCCCCCCCCCCCCCCCGTCTCACACTCAGCTACCAGATGCCTATTTTCTACTAAATATTGATGGGCTGAACACGAATATCAACTTCATTTCCGTCGCAAATTAATAGTTTTTGAAATATTTGATTGTTTTTAACCGAGATAGACATGCTTTGGACCAATCGGGGGGTTCCAGGGGGGCTTGCCCCACTGGGGTAAAAGAAAATCTGGGGGGGTTACCCATAATTTGATATTTTACAGTTAGATTTGAAATTGTCTTAAAAATAATTGATTTGCGACAGTTTTAGCACTGCTTTATGTGTGATCTGCAGCAAACAGTACAGCAGTTTGACCCCTGAAACAGTGCATCTGTGTGCGGGAGCGAAAGTAAAAATTTACCCTAAAATCGATAAGAGTAGGCTTCGGCCGCCACCCGGGCAAAATTTGAAATTTCCTACCCACTAAAAATATTAGGGGTGTCCCGCGCGCTCATATGACCTATGCAGTTGCGAGCGCCGTAAAACACTTTACAAAAAAAAAAAAAAAAAAGAGACCCGGTAGGGGAACTCTTTTGTGATTTCGGAAAGTTTCAGCGCCCAGACCCGGTAGTGTGTGTGTGTGTGAGTTAGAGAGAGAGAGAGAGAGAGCAGGGGGAAGTGCTAGCAAAATGTATATGACATGCCCGCCAGTTGGCAGGAGGGAACGAAAGACAGTGACAAACAAAGAAAAAAAGAACGAAGTGACTATTTCTCCGAACGTTCGGAGAAATAGTGCCGATCTTTATTTCTCCGAACGGTTTTCGGCTTCCGGTCTCGTGATTTTTTGCCTATTTATTGCGAGAGTTCGGCGCCAACTTTCATTCTGCCTCTGGTCTGGGAAGGAACACGTACCGCATGGCAAGCCCGCCTACAGACAACCTTCAGTAACACCCACCACACACCCACCACCATCATGCACATGTACACACACTAACTAAACATAACTAGTGGGCAACTTTTGAACGTATGACGAGCTGAACTGTGGATGGAGAGACAGTGTGAGTGAAAGAGCGGGTGAAAGGAAGAATGTGCGAGTGTATCCACAGGTGACAGCAACTACAAGACGACGACACTGACCACCCCTGGCCTGGTCCACAGCTCACGAACAAAAGGAATGCAGCTCAGGCGGTGTTTTGCCTATATTATTGTCCATGGTTCGCAGGGAACAAGTGAGATTTTCTTTGTGTGTGCCTGGAGGGATGGGGTGGGGTATGAAAGTCATGCGGACGGGGATGAGCCGCGGGAGAGAACACGGGAATTGAATGAAAGAGTGAAACTGAAAGAGACGAATGACTCATGAGTCCTGGAGTGAATGGATCCTGTGTTTCTATTTTTGTATACTTTGAACTGTTACTGAATAAAGGCTGAAATAAAGCCCGAAAAACAAACACACACACACTCCTCACTCTCCACTTACTACCACACACAGACACACTCAAACACTCACACATACATACACACTACACACACACACACACACAGGAGCAAATTTTTGGGTCTATATCTATTTCAATTTTCAACAGCTAGTCTAGATGAGATTTTTAGATGAGTGTAAAAACGTGAAAAAGAAAGGTTTCACAACAGAAAGAAATCAAAATTAGAACAGCCCATAAACAACAACAAACATTAACAAATAAGGGCGTGTGTCCACCTGTCCGAAGAAGATTGGCAGTTTTAACCCTAAATGTGCGTAATTTTAAAAAAAGTACAGGATATTACATGTAAATTATGGAATCACACACATTAAGGGGCTTGCCAGTGTCAGTACATTGGTCGCAGCAGTGACAAACGCAGATGCCAGTTCTATGTGTCGTTATCAATAACCCTCCGTAGATCTAGATCTAGACAGCACACGAGTGAACACAACACATTACGTTTAAAAGCAGCACCTTTCACAGGCAACACGTCATATCTATAGCGAAAAACTGTTTGGAATTGTAGCATTTCTTTATATAAATATTTACGGCGGACATTTTTTGGACCGATTGAACCATCATATTGTATACGAACAATCTTTGGTAGGCCCATACTATAATTATAGATCTAGATCTATATAATATCCGAAATTTGGGGGAAAGGATGATATTTCAGAGTGTTCGGAGAAATAGTGCCCAGCTTTATTTTCCTGAATGTTCGGAGAAATAGTGCCCAGCTTTATTTTCCCGAACGTTCGGAGAAATAGTGCCCAGCTTTATACAGTTAGATTTGAAATTGTCTTGAAAATAATTGATTTGCGACAGTTTTAGCACGGCTTTATGTGTGATCTGCAGCAAACAGTACAGCAGTTTGACCCCTGAAACAGTGCATCTGTGTGCGGGAGCGAAAGTAAAAATTTACCCTAAAATCGATAAGAGTAGGCTTCGGCCGCCACCCGGGCAAAATTTGAAATTTCCTACCCACTAAAAATATTAGGGGTGTCCCGCGCGCTCATATGACCTATGCAGTTGCGAGCGCCGTAAAACACTTTACAAAAAAAAAAAAAAAAAAAGAGACCCGGTAGGGGAACTCTTTTGTGATTTCGGAAAGTTTCAGCGCCCAGACCCGGTAGTGTGTGTGTGTGTGTGTGTGTGTGTGTGAGTTAGAGAGAGAGAGAGAGAGAGCAGGGGGAAGTGCTAGCAAAATGTATATGACATGCCCGCCAGTTGGCAGGAGGGAACGAAAGACAGTGACAAACAAAGAAAAAAAGAATGCGAGCGACACACACACACACACACAGAGAGAGAGAGAAAGAGAGGGGGCCACCTCTATTCTCACCCGGGATGAGAATAGTGCAGGCTAGTCTTTTGGCTATTCTCACCCGGTGCGCGTTCACTGTTATAGCCTAGATCTAGGCCAACAAATTTTGCGTTCACCCTAAACCACAGAATTCTACACTGTGATATAACAGAAAAATTGTAGAATTCTGTCCACACCGATAGACAGTATTCAGAAAGAGACAGAGAGAGAGAGAGAGGGGAGGAGTAGATCTTGCGAGAACTTTCGGGCAAAACAAAATGGCGACCCGCGTAGTTCGGCTCGATTCGAACAGTGAAATAGCCATAGCATCTTTGAAGAAGATCAAATTAGCTTACTTTTGTGCTATAACGTAATTTTTTCTTGGCTTTTATCAATTTGATCATCCACACCGATAGACAGTATTCCAAAATGAGGAAAAGCAGGTCTTGTTTCGCACCGGGTGAGAATAGCCTACGCTGGCAAGTCTCACCCGGGGTGAGACGTAGATCGTTTTTCTATTCTCACCCCGGATGAGAATAGCCACTTCCGAGAGAGAGAGAGAGAGAGAGAGAGAGGGAGAGGGAGGGAGGGAGGAGGAAACGATCATTCATTGATTGAAAAGACATCCGCAATCTTCATTTAGTTTTAGATATAGAATCTAGATCTAGGCCAGCCTCGAAACTAGATCAATGATTTATATCTGTCTGTCTAGATCTAGACCTAGGCCATAGATCTAGAAGAACCTAGTTCTACCCTGAGCCAAGAGGGTGCTGAAACTTTCCGAAATCACAAAAGAGTTCCCGTACCGGGTCTGTATACTTTGTGACTTTATTCCCGGTTACCGGGTCTGTATACACTCCCTTGACAGAATGTCCGGCTGGATTGTACTTTACCGGACCACCCGTCTCGGCCCGTGATTACTACGCACGCCTAGCCTAACTACGCACTCATAGTACTCTGCGTGCGGACAAAAGGTAGTTCCGCGGGCGACTTCGCGCACGCACAGCGAAGTCAGCGGCGACTGGCGAGGCGAGGTGAGCGAGAGGTGGTGGTGGTTGAGTGGGCAGGGGATTTAACTTTGGTGGACCATTGTGTATCATACCAACAGTGGGGTGGGGTGGGGGGGTTCAGGGGGGCTTGCCCCCCTGGAAACTATAATAAAGAAAACACACAAAAATGCGAAACAATAACATGAGCGGACAGTCGTGTTTACATATCAATGGGGGGGTTTCAGGGGGGCTAGCCCCCCTGCCCCTGGTAACAATAATTTAAAGACACTCACACACAAACATATAAACAATAGCATGATAAGTCGCGAGCAGGGCCAATGGGGTTGCAATTATGCAAATGAGCTCTCGTGCGCATCTCTAGCCCTCCATTGTACTTTGCCGGACCAGGAGTAGGCCTAGGGCCTAGGCCAAGCCAGCAGAGTCGCGAGCAAATAAGAATAGTGGACCACGTGATTAGATTGACCAATTAGCCTCAAGGTGTCAGGGTCATGGGTCAAAGGGCACAGTGGCACGGTCGTGATGACTGAAAAACCCGGTAAGAGACGGCAGTCGATTGCTGGCAGTTGATGAGTGAGGACGTAGAAAACTGAGTAGGAGAGTGAGTAGGGGAGCTCGGAAACGACGAACAGCGGACCACTAGGCACCAGGGGCGCCACAGCGAAAGTAGTTCCGACCGGTGGTCCGGTAAAGTACAATCTTACCGAATGTCCACCTCTCGTGACATTGTAACACACGAAAGATAAAACATACAAAAGTTTTTCCACACAATTAAGAAAAAGAACTATTCTAGATCTAGATCTAGATTCTAGATCTATAATCAAATGCTTCCGTGAACGTGTGAAGTTGATGGTAGGAGAAATAACTCAGTAATATCAGTTCTTGTGAAATAAGTCCCTGAATCTCGTAGAATGGGGTGAACGCTACACTGGTTGGCCTAGGCTAGGCTATCACGGTGAACATACAGCGGGTAAGAATAGAGGTTGCCTTACAAGTTACGGCTACAGGCTACGGCGAAGTCCATCCAGATTTTTAGAGTCTCCAAACTCAAATTGTTTCATTTGATTATTTTCCTTTAAAACACTAGATCTAGAATCTAGATTCTAGATCTAGGCCTACGGTGCAAGCAGCACTTGCAAATAAAAATATGGTAACTCTTCATCAGGAGTAGGCCTACAGGTTAGTCTACAAGTGCAAGTGTGTTGACTAAAACTTTTACTAAAACTAAAGACTAAGCACTCTCTGATTCAGTCTTGGTCTTGAATAGGTCAGGCCAGCTTACATGATCAAAAACAGGCCCACATAAAATCTTTCTCAAAAATAACTTCAGTAGATTCTAGTTAATATCACATAACCAAACAAAGGCAACAAACAAACAGATTGTCATCTTCAAGAAGGTTTTGATCAGTGAGCGGTAAAATCCAATAGTCATCCTTTTCAAACACACACCTCTGATTTCCCACACAAGGCCAAAGCCAGCCAAAGCCATGAAAGCGAAAGAGTGGGTGACCGGTGGCCGGTTGGTCTATGTTAGAAACTAACGGTACACTTAGAAAACCTGTTGTCACATTAACCTGGTACAATTTTAAACAAAACAAAATACACTTTCATGGTGAGACAAGATACCTTTTTCTGACTCTGTTGCTCTTCCATTGTGTCGTTTTCAGCTTCGCGGTACTGGTTTGGTGTGCTCTGTTCTCTAAAATGGCGCACAAAGGGAGTGCACGCTGGGATAGCCTGTTTCTAAATAAAGAAATCAAGCCTGTCGCAGGAGTCTCCCTTGTGCGCCTAGGGATCCTTCATTGTCAACCGATGCCTTTTAAAAGTAATGTTAACTTCGTCTTCGACGGCATTAGATTACAAACAAACAAAAAAAGATTTTTCAACAGATACATAATCAACATATCGAATGTAATGTTTTCCAAACAGTACATACTGAGAGTAGATTGAATTTTAATCTTCGAATTTTGCCGAGTGCCAAACCAAGCTTCACACATGACATAGGCTAGGAGGCCTCAGGAATAGAAAAAACAGTGTTCCATCTCTCAGGCCTTGAAGGTAAAGACAATGAGAACGAGAGACGAACCCTATGTACCCACCACTGTCATCAACGATACTAATGGAGAAGCTCTGCACGAAGAGAAAGCAATAATAAAAAGATGGGAAGAATATTTTCAAGAACTACTAAACCCATCAGGAGTACAGGCACAAAACACAGTGCCCATTCACCGCCAACTACCCTGAGCACTCAGAACCTACCATCCTGGAGAGTGAAGTGAGAGAAACACTGAAAACTAGTCCAAAGAACAAGGCAGTTGGAGACGATGGCATCACAACCGAAGCCATCCTTGCATGCGGCGAAACTGGAATACATTGGCTTACAATCATCTTCCAACAAGCATGGGAAGAAAGAAAAGTGCCAGCAGACTGGCAAAATGCGATAGTGGTGCCAATATGGAAGAAAAAGGGCAGCAAGAAAGACTGCAACACCTATAGAGGCATATCTCTTTTCAGCCATGTGGGGAAAATGTATGCAAAAATCCTAAAGCGACGTACTCGCGCAAAAACCGAACATCTTCTCAGTGACGCCCAATTTGGCTTTAGAAAAGGAAGAGGGTGCACTGATGCAATCTTCGCACTCCGACAACTGTGTGAGAGGGCTTTGGAATACGACAAAGATCTCCACCTCGTATTTGTGGATCAAGAAAAAGCCTTTGATCGAGTAAATAGAAACAAGCTATGGAAGATCTTAGAGCAGTACGACATCAAGGGACAACTGCTAGACAACATCAGGGCTATCTATGCCAACAGCAGAAGCGCTGTCCGAACTACCAGTGGAACATCGGACTGGTTTCCAGTAACATCCGGAGTGAGACAGGGCTGCAATCTCTCCCCTCTGCTCTTCATGATCTACATGGACCAGATAACAAAAGAGGCCAATCCAGACCCAGAGGCACTCAACGAACTCATGTTTGCAGATGACCTGGCAATGATTAACAACAAGACTCAGCTACAGGAGCATATAAACCAACTAAATGCGAGCTGCGAAAAATATGACATGAAGATCAGTATAAGCAAGACCGAAGTCATGACAATTAGCAGGAGACCAGGTAAAGTGGATATCAACATTAATGGATCCCAACTAAAACAAAGCAGAGAATTTATATACTTGGGCAGCATTTTCACAGAAAATGGAAAATTAGATCGAGAGATAGAGACTAGATGCCAGAGAGCCAACGCAGTCAGCTACCAACTGGGCCCTCTCCTGAAACATCCCAATATCCCCATGAGCACCAAGGCGAAGCTCATCAACGCCATTTTACTTCCAACGCTCACATATCAGTGCCAGACATGGACTCTAACAAAAGCCCTAGAGAGGAAACTGGTCACATGCGAGATGAAATGCTTAAGAAGAGCGGCCAACAAAACAAGAAGATACAAAATTAAAAATGAAGTCATAAGGGCCACCGTGGGAGCAACACCAGTCCTACCACACATTGAAAAACAAAAGGTCAAGTGGTTCGGACACCTCACGCGGATGCCCTCAAACCATCCAGCTCTGAGAGCATACAACATTAAATATTCTGGATGGAGAGCCAGAGGAAGACCAAGGCGACGATGGAGTGAATCTGTGGCAGACACCCTTAAAGATCATGGGATGTCCCTCCTACAGGCCACACGACTTTCTGCAGACAGACACCTGTGTCTCCCCGCGACACCCCAGGGTACAAGCGGAAGAAAAAAGTAAAGTAAAGTAAAGTTGCATAATATGAAAGCTAAATGCATTCTTTGGAAGACCCATGGGAAGGGTCGTCAGGACAACTACATGCTATATTCAGACAAAAAGTTGAAAGTCTATAATACAAAGCTGTGACATACTCCTCCCAAAATTGAATGGCAAAACATATAATATAATTATAATACTGAACACCGAAGTTATCAAAAGGGCCAAGAATCCCCATGTGTTCTACATCCAAATGAACTCAGCTTCGAAGCTGGGATCATTCTTATAGAATGCCTTGATTTCAGAATCTCAATTCTGCTACTATACTGTCATCAAGGAATCCTGAATTTAAGTTGGCGTACAAAACAAGAAGAAAAAAGCGCTACAAAACACCATGTAGATGTCCCGGAGGGGGGGGGGGGACTTTTTAATAACAAAATCTTCTACATAGGCGTCAATGAGAGAGTCTACGGCCTATATATAAGTATGGTGGGCAGTAGGCCTTTATCTAATTAAGGATAATTTTAAGGGGCTTCAGGAATAAGAAATATAACCTCTAGATCTAATGCAAATGTACAGAATGTGACAAATTTTTGCTGCCAGAACAATAAGGAGTTCAGAACTGTAAACTCCTTGAGCCAGAATTAGCTTCACTGGCCATAGTAGTAGAAGCCATTTTAACACTTAATTCTTCTATCTCGCATAAGAAATTATACTCTTGACTCTGTGGATAGATTTGTCATGGTCAGGCATCATGACGGAAAAACTATATTATATATTACATTATGAGTGTCGACCGTTCGAGATAGGAATTGCGTATCACAAGATGAAAAAACTCGTCACTGGACACACATCATGCTCAAGAATAAAATAGGCCAGAGAAGTATAAGCATTATTACTGTTGAGTAGGAAGATAGATCTAATAATTCAGTAGCCAAAGCCACCAGGCGCGGTTCGTCCATAGAGCACGGTCGTGCAGTGCCGCCCAAAATTGTTGAATGTTCTAATTACGTAAAACACCAACAATAATAAAATAAAAGAAGCCAAAAACAAACACTAGCCAAATATTATATCAAAACAAAGGTCCTCACTAGCGCCATAACTGTCATTTTTATGCCTATAGTGCCGTAAAACATCTACTATGCAATGCCAAAGTCCACGCGCTTTAGCTAAACAGAAAAGGATATTCAACAGTGTAACCTGACCTATAAATCGCTCTTGGGGATAACCCAAGCGATGACGACACTCATAGCGAGTTTGGCGGTACATTAATATTAATAAGCCGGCACATCTCAAATGTGCTCCTGCCGAATAGTGCCGAAACATAGCCCACAGTAGGCAGTCTAAAAATAAACACGATAGACCCTACACTCTTCTTTGCCAGTGTTATTTGAGTCCTGGAGCAATCCAGCGGAGTGCTCAAGTGAATTGTGATTTGTTCATTGTTTGTCTTGCACTATTTTAAGTGACTCTGTAGCCGTGAATAGTTTTGTAGTGGAGTAGTGAAAGTTATTACGTGTACTTTGATGTTTAGCTAACAAACAAATTTAGTACTAGAAATCAAAGCGACAAGTAAAAAGAATGAAAATAAAACCACGAGGCCCTCCCTCACCAACCCAAAGATCCTAAACTTATACACCGTCTCATTTACTATGCCCTTGACTATCTTCCAACTATAGAGGGATCACTCTTCTCTCAATACCAGGTAAGGTCTTCAACAGAATCGTTCTGGAAAGAATCAAGACAGGAACGGATCCAAGACTACGGGATGAACAGGCCGGTTTCCAGAAAAATCGCTCAACCACCGACCAGATTGCCACGCTGAGGATTATTGTGGAACAGTCCCTGGAGTGGAACTCCCAGTTGTTTGTCAACTTCCTTGACTACGAGAAGGCCTTTGACAGTATAGACCGAGCGACACTATGGAAGATAATGAGACACCACGGAATCCCACAGAAGTTGGTGAACCTCATCAAAAGCATGTACGAAGGGACAAGTTGTAGGGTTGTACATGATGGCTAGTTCACGTACAGCTTTGACATCAAGACTGGAGTGAGACAGGGATGCTTACTATCACCGTTCCTCTTCATATTGGCAATCGACTGGCTGATGAAGGAAACCACCAGAGGACACAGAAATGGTATACAGTGGACACCATGGACACAGTTGGACGATCTGGATTTCGCAGACGACTTGGCGCTTCTGTCGCACACCCAGGAACAGATACAAGCAAAGACTTCAGTATTAAACAGCCTATCGGAGTCTGTTGGATTGAGGATCCACCCCAGAAAGTCAAAGGTACTAAGGACAGATGCACAACGAAAGGAGCAGGTCACAATAAAAGGAAAGGCCCTAGAAAACGTTGAATCCTTCTGTTATCTTGGGAGCATAATTGACAGAGAGGGAGGAACAGGTGCTGAAATAAAGTCCCGCATTGGAAAAGCACAGGCTGCTTTCATATCTTTGGATAGGATTAGGAAGACCAGAGAGATCTCACTTCGAACAAAGCTGAGGATTTTCAATTCAAACGTGAAGTCGGTCCTGTTGTATGGATGTGAGGCATGGAACGCATCGCAGACTTGTATAAAGAGGATCCAGGTTTTCTTGAACAGGTGTCTAAGAAAGTTACTGAGGATCAGATGGACAGACAGGGTCACCAATATGGAAGTGTTAAGGAAAACAAGACAGATCCCAGTCAGAGATGAGGTAGGAAGAAGGCGGTGGCGATGGATTGGACATACTCTCAGGAAGTCAGGCAGCTGCATAACAAAGAAAGTTTTGGATTGGAACCCACAGGGCAAGAGATCAAGGGGAAGACCTCGTGGAACTTGGAGAAGAATCACAGAAATCGATGTACAGAAAAGTGGGAAGACATGGAATAACATCAAGAGGCTAGCCCAGGATAGAGAAAAGTGGGGGGTGTTTGCCCGTGGCCTATACCCTGGTGCAGGGTGAGAAAGGCAATGATGATGATGATGACTATCTTCAGCATGCCATGGCTTAATCATTATTGTGCACGCCCACTTTTTAGTCCCACGAGCCGCCCCTGAGAGCCACGTGTTGTGGTTCTTGGTGTGCTAATCAAAGAACGGGACAAAACTGTCAAAACCCGGACAAAACTGCCGTTTATCAGCGACACCTTTTTAAAGAAGACTTATTGATGGTCAATATTGGCCTGCTCAATAATTTATTATGAAGAGAGAGAGAGAGAGAGAGAGAGAGAGAGAGAGAGAGAGAGAGAGAGAGAGAGAGAGAGAGAGAGAACGGCTTGGGGTGGGGGCAGATATACGTTAGAGAGGAAGAATTGAAGAAGAAAAACAAGAATGCCTTTCAAACTGATGCTCTTTTGTAACTCAATTATAAGGAAAGTTATGTGAAGAGACTGAATAATATGGAAGAGAAAAGTTGGAAAGAAGCAAGATAACCAATGCAAATAGCTCTCAAAATGAGTTTAGGTCTAGTCGAAGGGAGGGTTCATTGAATCATTGATCAATTATTCAGATCCATTCAAAAAGTCGGACTCCAGAGTTGTCTCCTGCCTGTGCCGTTCCAAGGGAAGTGACCCCGATTGTTTTTCTAGCTAGTTTCTCGTGCTGCCAGTTTGGCTTCATGTGGAGCCAAATCCCCAAAATTTGGCTATTGAACTGTTTTTTTTAATATTAAAAAAAAATAGTTTTACGGCGCTTGCAACTGCAAAAAGGTCATGGGCACGCGGGACACAATTTGTTTATTTTCACCTGTAGCATTTTAAGTTTTGATAGGAATTAATTTTGAAATTTGCCCGGCGTGGTGCCCGAAGCTACTTCTTAACGATTTTAGGACCACCATTAAAGAGATCTTTAACGTGCGCAACTTGTGCTCGATCGGGACCTCGAGCCGAGATCCATGGCTCCAATCAGAGACTAGCAGGTGTTCGATCTTACCTCAAGACCAGGGGCAGAAAGACGCCAGTGTGAAGGAACCAGGAGTAGCAGTGGAAAAAGTAATATAGCTCAGAGGAGGAAAAGGGGGCAGGGCCAGTAAAGAGGAGATCCGATGAAAGAACATAATATGACAATCTCTAAGAGGGCAGGAGAGGAGGTGAAAGGAGAACAAAACATTTAGATAATTTTTTTTGGGCCCCGTCAGGTTTGGAACTTGGGACCTACTGAATAAGAGGGCACGCTGTACCTCTAGACCAAGACGTACAGACCCCCTCCCCCCCCCCCCCCAGCTGTTTGGCCTAGATCCGGATAAATTCTTAAATTCTTTCGCTCTTTTTTCGGGGTCGCTGGTTAATTTCTGTAAAGCTAAAAAGAAAGAAGAAGCCCTAGAAGTCAATATTACTTTTCACATTTTAAATCTATAAATGCTGATATATGTGGCAATCACAGGGCATCTGAGAATAATGGATAATTTTTGTGTACCGGAGTACGGATTGTTTTCTTTCATTAAAAAAAACCCTGTCAAAGTGGGAAGGTTTCCCAAACAAACAAACAAACAAACAAACACACACACACACACACACACACACACACACACACACACACACACACACACACACACACACACAGATATTAATAAAATGCACAAAGTGTTTTATACCCTTCCCCCCCCAAAAAAAAAAAAAAACCCAACAAAAACCAACAAACAAACGTAAAACAAAAAACCCCCTACAAAAACAAACGACAAACGAACCGAACAAACACATAGACCTAAGACCATTGCTAAGACATAGACATAACAAAAAAAGCAAACAAATAAAAACAACGCCAACAAAAAAACAGAAATTTCAGTACTAAAATTACAGAATAATATTATTAAATTGGTTATAAACTTGAACTGGTTGTAATTTTAGGCATTCTCAGTTGTAATACATCATGTATGTACATGTACATGTAGTTGGTTCTAAATTTGGATCCGAAATTATCGGTAGTTTGACCCGTTTGACCCCACACCAGAAAGAAATCTGGCATCCGTATTTTGTCTTGTAGTTTGTAGCCTTGTAGTAGTGATGGGCCGATACCACAATTTAGGTATCGACATACTTTTCAAGGTATCGATACCGATACCTCGATACCTAACGCTATTGGTAACATACGCCTGGGGGTAATAAGTAAAGACAAAAATATAACTATACTTTTCCAAATATTTAGATAATCGTGTCTAGACAAGTTGTGACTATTTAGCTGAGACTCAAACAAAAATTATTTGTAAAAAGAGAGAGAGAAGAGAGAGAGAGAGAGAGAGGGAGAGAGAGAGAGAGAGAAGAGAGAGAGAGAGAGAGGGAGAGAGAGAGAGAGAAATAAATACCCAAATATGAGAATAAAAACAAAAATTAAGTGAAGTATGGGAGGAAAGTCAACTTTGCAGAAAATGTTAGTATTGGAAAATAAAAACACAAGAGTTCTAAAAAGGCAATTCAATTTACCAGATTTTTAGCAACTTTAAATTAAACCAATGGGGATTAATCAGGGTTGTCAGTGAGGATTTTGCAAAATCACTAGATAGATTTCATGAAAAACTTCTCTCTTTTTGTTAAAAAATCACTAGATTCATTTAAAACGCTAGCCCCCTACGAAAACCTATCAGTTTTGATAAACAAAAAATTCTCTAGGCCCAAGTCACTTGCTTTGGCAGCCCTGGGATAAAAAAACACATAGGTATCGATGTTTAGAGCAGGTATCGGTACCGATACCGATACCTATAGGTATCTAAGTATCAAGTACCTGGTATCGATACATGCCCATCACTACTTGTAGCCTAGGCTAGCCGTGTTGGCCAGAAGTTTCTAGTGAATTCCTCTAGAATCTAAGCGATAAGTTTTCAGTTGAGTTGACTTGGTAGCCTAAACTAGAAATAGAAACTGAAAGAATAATATGGCGACCGCCGCTGAATTGTGTCGGTGAGATCCTCCAACCTTTATGATGGCTGTTGATTTGTTAAATTGATACTGACCGTATCTGGGTTTTCATTTTCAGAAGTTAACAGCCTTTTATTTGAATTTTGATGAAGGCTGAGTGTAGTGTAATGTAGATCTATTGTTTGTGTGTGTGTGTAGTTAGTGGAGTGTGTTTGTTGTGTGTGATTTGTTGGGAGGACTTCCGTAACGAGCGACCACTATGAGACAGAGTAGAATAGAAGGCTAGGGATAGGGTTAAGTGTAGTGGTAGGATTATTAGGGGTAGGGTTAGGTCTCTTCTTGGGACTCGTATGAGCGCATTTGCCTGTGGGTGTGTGAATGAAACGTACTCGCGCATTCTGGAATGTCCTCTTAACCAAGGAAATCTGGTGCTTTTTCGGTAATTCCCGCCCTCCCTTATTTGAGCCTAGATCTAGATCTAGATTATGCATCTAATCTAGAATTCTAGATCTGGATTAGATCAAGATCTAGATCTAGATCTAGTTCTAGATCTAGAATCTAGATCTAGGACTATACTATACGTTTTGAAGCACGGCAAGCTAAGATATCAAACCTACCTAACAACTGCAAAACATCAAATTATGGTAAAATTCAGAGGGGGGGGGGGACAT